GGAATCAATCACCATGGAATCAATCAATCAGAGGGGATCAATCAATCACTGTAGAATCAATCAGAGTGAATCAATCAATCAAAAGGGATCAATCGATCACCATGGAACTGATTAATCACGGCAGAATCAATCACTGCAGAATCAATCAATCAGAGGGGATCAATCAATCACTGTAGAATCAATCAATCAGAGGGGATCAATCAGTCAGAGGGGATCAATCAATCACTGCAGAATCAATCAATCAGAGTGTATCAATCAATCAATCACAGCGGACTCAATCGATCACAGTGGATCAATCAATCAGAGGGGATCAATCAATCACGGCGGAATCGATCAATCATTAAGGTTTATCATTAAGGCAGAATTAAGGTTTATCTCCCCTGGTGGTGTCAGCGCAGCCTTGAGGCAAAGACTGAGCCTGAGCCTGAGGCCTTAATGCTGAGCCTGAGCCTGAGCTTGAGGCCTTGGTTCCGGCCTTGAGGAAAAGATTTTGACCTTCAGGCAAAGGCTGCAGGTTCAGGCTCAGGCTGCGACCCCAAGAGTCATCCCAGCTGTCCCCAAATACCACCGCGGCTGGAAGGACAGAACCCGTGGGGGTTTGTGGGGAATGTCCCCAAAAYGGGGACAGGCTGGGTGCCACCCTCAGGGCTGGCTCTCGAGGGGACGCAGCGTCAGCTGGATGGGTTTGTCCGGGATCAGGATGAGGTCGAACTTGGTCCCGATTTCCACCGCTCGCATGGTTTCGATCTTGAAGTTCTCCAGGATCTGGGGTGAAGGAGGGTTTGGGGTTTGGGGTTTGGGGTCCATGTGGGGGAAATTATCCTTGCCCACAGTTAAGGCCCTTCCAAACCAAACCACCCCAGGATTTTATGAGAACGGACACCCAAACCCTGTAGGATCTGGGGTGAAGGAGGGTTTGGGGTTTGTGTAGGGGGAAATTGTCCATGCCCATGGCTCTTACAAGCTGAGACACCCCAGGATTTTATGAGAACGGACACCCAAACCCTATAGGATCTGGGGTGAAGGAGGGTTTGGGGTTTGTATAGGGGAAATTGTCCCTGCCCATGGCTCTTCCAAGCTGAGACACCCCAGGATTTTATGGGACTAGGATTTTTTGGAGTTTGGGGTTTGTGTAGGGGAAATTGTCCAGGATTTTATGGGAATGGACACCCACACCCTATAGGATCTGGGGTGAAGGAGGGTTTGGGGTTTGTATAGGGGAAATTGTCCCTGCCTACAGCTCTTCARAGCCAAGCCACTCCAGGATTTTATGGGACCAGGATTTTTTGGGGTTTGGGGTTTGTGTGTGTGGGAAATTATCCTTGCCCACATTTAAGACCCTTCCAAGCTGAACCACCCCAGGATTTTATGGGAACAGACACCCACACCCTATAGGATCTGGGGTGAAGGAGGGTTTGGGGTTTGGGATGTGTATGGGAGAAATGGTCCCTGCCCTGAACCACCCCAGGATTTTATGGGAATGGACAACCACACCCTATAGGATCTGAGTTGAAGGAGGGTTTGGGGTTTGAGGTGTGTTGGGGAAATTGTCCCTGGCCCAAAGCACCCCAGGATTTTATGGGAATGGACACCCACACCCTATAGCATCTGAGGTGAAGGAGGATCAGTGCAGGTTTGGGGTTTGTGTAGGGGAAATAATCCCCACCCACCTTTAAGGCCCTTCCGAGCCGAACCACCCCACAATTTTATGGGAACAAACACCCACCCCGACCCCACATGCCACCCCAGCCGCTGTCCCCCAATCCCCGCTGTCCCCTCTGTCCCCGTATCTCACGTGCATCAGGAAGAGCTGCATCTCGATCTCGGCGATGCGGCGCCCCAGGCACTGGCGGGGCCCGAAGCCGAAGCTCAGTCCCTGGAAGGGTTTGGGGCCGGCGGCGAGCCAGCGCTGCGGGCGGAACTGCT